AGCAAAAATTTAATTAATGAGTAGATATTTTCTAGACTCTATAATAGCCACAACTAGTTGTGCATCATTTAAAAATTGTTTTATTCATACCATTTCAGACTCTGGCCCTTTTGGAGGAAGAGGAAGATATAAACCAAATCACAGATTACTTCTCTTATGAGCATTTCTATGTCATTTATTGTAAATTCTGGGAACTAGATGGTGACCATGACCTGTACATCAGCCAGGATGATCTATCTCGATACAATGACCAGGGTGAGTGGTTCTGTAGATACTAAAACTAAACCTTTTTCCAAAGTTGTATAAATTGTCTCCCCTCGTTATGAGAAATTCCCTTTCTTAAATTCTATTAATAAGTCTCTTTATAGGACCAATAATTTTTAAATGAGAATGAACAAAGATAATTTTTTTTTTGTTTGTTCACTCTGGGACCAGGCTGGCCTTGAACTCATAGAAAGCTGCCTACTTGTTTCCCTCTGGGTCTGGGGTTAAAGGTGTGCGCCACCACGCCTAGCCAAAGGTAACTTTTTAAACATAAGAGACCAGAGGAGTATGGAGGTAAGTAAGCACAGTTTGAAAAGCGGGAAGTCTTTGTAGTAATTGGTATCATTTAGATGGTGATCAAATACATATGCAAATCTGTTTAAAAACCTTCTCACTTAGCTGGGCTGTGGTGGTGCTCACCTTTAATCCCAGCACTCAGGAGGCAGAGGCAGGCAGATCTCTACAGAGTGAGTTCCAGGACAGGCTCCAAAACAATACAGAGAAACCCTGTCTCGAAAAAACAAAACAAACAAACAAACAACAAAAACACCTCAACTATATAAATAACTAAACAGATGCCAGATACATTCATTTGCCTCATCTTTTTCTAAAATTAGTGATTGATAATTTAAACCTACCTCATTCTTCTAAAAAGTTAAATCAGAATTTAGGATCTAGGCAGACAAAATTCCTACACAAATGGGGGTTGGGCCCCTAAGGTCCACCCTTGACTGAGATTTTGGTGGCTGATCGTCAGTGAGGGAAGAAGACTCACTCTCCCCTGGGTATTTTGCCCATGCCCCCACAGAAGCCCCACACACGTGGCATATGGGAAGCACATGGATTCATGGGTTTAATGGCCAAAAGGGGGGGCATGGAATAGGGAAAGAGACAGACTAAGGGATACTTGGCATTATAGAGAGATAATGGTAGATGAATAGGCTCAAAATACATTGTATAAATGTATGAAATTTTCAATGAATAAATTTTAGTTTTTTGTTTTTGTTTTGTTTTTTTGAAAATTTAGGGGTTGGGGATGTAACTGAGTTGGTAAGAGTGGTTGGCTACCATATATAGGTCTGAGTTTGACTTCCAGCACCACATAAACTGTGTACAATGGTGCACACTTAAAATCCCAGCTTTCAGTGGGAGAAGCAGGAAGGTCAGAAGTTCAAGGTCATCCTCAGTTATATAGCAAAATAAGAGTAAAGCCCTGGCTCAAAAAAGAAAAGAAAGTAACTGTTGATATTCCCACTGTGGAAGATTGTTATGGTTTAGCTTTAGCAAATGAAAACAAATTTGTCAGGAATATTTCTAACTAACTGTAATTCTTATTTACATTTAGCTTCATCAAGTAGAATTATTGAACGAATATTTTCGGGAGCAGTAACAAGGTATGAAAAAGTTTAAAGTTTGAATTTTATTTAATGGGCTAGCAATAAGTAATAGAAAAATGAAATAAAACAATTTGAGTTTCAAAATGAATTATACTGTTACAGCAATCTCATCTTAGCAAAGCTTTCTGATAATTTAGAAGGGCTACTAAGTCACATTATACCTAAAAAGCATAAAACAGTCATTCCTTAATATTAGTACAATGTCTAAATACTAAGTAACAATATCTAATCCCATATATTATCAAATTAGGAAAAAGGGCCAGACCTAGCAGCATGGGTCTATAGTCCCCAGTTACTTAAGCTGAGGCAGGAGGTTCACAAACCAAAGCTTTCTTAAGCTTCATACTCAGTTCAAAGTCTGCCTAGGCAATTTAATAAGACCTGGTTTCAAAAAATTAAAAGTAAGCTGGACATGATGGCACATGTCCTTAATCCCAATACTTCAGAGACATAAGCAGGAAGATCTCAGTGAGTTCAAGACCAACTTGGTCTACATATTGAATTCCAGCCACTAAAGGCTACATACTGAGCCAGGTAGTGGTTGTACACACCTTTAGTCCCAGCATTTAGGAGGCAGAGGCAGGTGGATCTCTGGGAGTTCGAGGCCAGCCTGGTCTACAGAGTGCACTCTAGGATGGGCTCCAAAGCTACAGAGAAACTCTGTCTTAAAGAAAAAAGGAGGGGAGCTACATACTGAGACCCTGTCTCACAAAAATTAATCTAATTAGTTAGTTAAATAATAAATTAAAAGTAAAAAGAAGGATAAGCATATAACTCAGTGGTAGAGTACTTGTTTGCCCTGTATTAGTCTTTAAGTTCAAACTCTAGTACTACAAAAGCAGCATGATTTTTTTTTTCTTCATTTAGGCAGAGATCTTCTAGTTTGACCATGTAGACCTTAGGAAAGAAGGCAGTCCTCAAAGGGTCATGCTGGTGAACTACCCAGCTTTATGAGGAATCTATCATCTTCTTTTCTATTTAGTACATTTCTAAGCAGTGATGTTACTTTTTTCTTAATGGCTCAGGAAACTTTTATAACCATGTGTTTTCTTCAGAGGAAAAACAGTACAAAAAGAGGGAAGAATGAGCTATGCGGATTTTGTTTGGTTTTTGATTTCTGAGGAAGACAAACGGAACCCTACCAGGTAAGTTTTTGTTGTCAAGATGTAAACACATGCACAAAGATTGGAAACAGCATGCTGTCTATACACTTAGTAAAGTGTATAGACCCGGCTAGCCATAGCAGGGTATGTTAGACTGTCTCTGTCCTCAGAGCTCAGTTAGGAAGAGAGAGTCAGAATGCATCTATGGCCATGGTGTATTAAGGAAAGAGCTGTTGCCCACAGAAAGGTAAAATGAAGAATTCTCTTTCCAGGAGACAGAAATGGGACTGGTGAGTATTCATAGAGTGTGGAGAAGATTCTATAAATGTTAGTTCTTTTACAATCTGCACTAGTAGTAAACTGAAGAAGGAAGGAAAATCAAATTATGGGACCAGAGAGATGGCTCAGTGGATAAATCATTCCATTCTAGCTGGAGGACCAGAGTTCAGATCCCCAGCACTAATAACAAAAGCCAAGAAGGTATAAGGGCCCCACCTGTATTTCCAGTGCTCAGGAGACAGAGTGGCTCCACAGGGCAAACTAGCTTGCTATGCTAGCTGAATCAATGAGACCTGTGTTTACCAAGAGACTCTCTCAGTAAACAAATTGGAGAGCACTTGGGAAAGATACCTGACATCAACCTCTGCCTCTGCCCTCTATATGCTTGTACAAATGTGCACTTTCACCTACATGCATGCATGTGAAACAAAAAAAAACAAAACAAAAAAAAGAAGCAGCAACAAATTGTGACTAGTATGTAAGATCACAGCTTCATGCTACCAGTTGAAATCATCACTCCCTTTCCTTGGTACTCTCAAACATGCCTTGATTTTTGTATGTAAATTTACATATCTCTTTCCGTCCACTGCAGTCTCCTAGCTAAGCCAAATATCTAGGTCTCTCTCAAAAGGACCTCTTGCCTACAAAATAATGTCCTATACAGTTTCTGCTCAGGACCAAGGAAGGCAGGTAATTCATTCCTTGATGCAGATTTGGAGTCTTCATATTGGCTCAAAAGTAAATGAAGGGACTGGAGAGATAGTTCAACAGTTAAGAACACTGGCTGCTCTTCCGGGTGACTGGAGTTCAATTTCCAACCCCCACATGGCAGCGCACAACTCTCTTAATTCCAGTCTCAGGAGCTCCAACACCTTCTAGCCTCTAGAGGAGTGGTTCTCAGCCTGTGTATCACAACTCCTTCAGGGGTCCCATATCAGATGTCTTGCCTATCAGATATTTACATGATGATTCGTAACAGTAGCAAAATTGTAGTTATGAAGTGGCAACAAAATTAATTTTATGGTTCGGGTCATCACAACATGAGGAACTGTATTTAAGTGCCACAGCATTAGGTAAACTTGGCATAGTGATACACGTCTTTAATCCCAGCACATGGGAGGCAGAGATAGGCAGATCTCTGTGAGTTCCAAGCCAGCCTGGTCTACAAAAGTGAGTCTCATGACAGCCAGGGCTACACAGGGAAACCCTGTCTCAAAAAGCCAAAGGGGAAAAAAATCTGAGGGAAGGCAGGCAGGGTGTGGAGGAGCACGCCCTTAGTCGCAGCTCTTGGGAGGCAGGCTGATCTCTCTGATTCCCAGGCCTGTCTGATCTGCATGATTGCAGGTTAAGTGGAGCTACAGAGTGATGGCCCCTGAAATCAGATAAAACAAAGATAAAAATCTGAAGGAAAAGCACTACTAAGCTTTATTCTAGAATTAGCCAAAATACCACATTAGAGTTTAGGAAAAGGAACCTTTCCATATCCGAGATCTAAGCCAGAAAGCTGCCATGTCCTTCTGTCCAGCTACTCAAGTAGAGCAAAATGACGGGAGTCCAAGAGCTAGAGGCCACCTCAGATTACATATTAATAACTTGTTTAAAAGAAATAAATAAAATTTTTAAGGAAAAAAATAATGCAAGATAAAAAAAAAAAAAACATTATGGGCTAGAGAGATGGTTCATTTGGTAAACTGCTTGCCATGCAAAAATGAAGACCTGAGTTTGATCCTCAGAATTCATGTTTTATAAAACCAGGCATGGCACACATTTGTAATCCCAGTGCTGAGGAAATAGAGACAGGTAGATCCTGGGGATCACTAGTCAACTAGCATAGCCTATTTGGCTAGTGAGAGGCCCTGTCTCAAAGGTGGAGAAACAACTGAGGAAGATCCCCAGTGCTGACCTCTGGCTTCCACATGCACACACACACAAAGATACACAGAACAACGTAACTTACCTGCCGTGACTCTCCTCTGGAGGATACTTCTAGACAATGTACATGTCAAAGGACAGGGAAATGTGAGAGCCAAGAGACACAGGAACTTCAAGATGAAACTGTGAACCAGGCATAGAGACCAAACAGACCATAGGAAAATAAGTCAGCAGGAACCAAAGACTATTTCAAGAAAATTCAATTGTTAGACTAGCTGATGTGATTGAATGTGCATCTAAACAAGTGGTAGAGATTTGAAGGCTGACAAAATAACAAGTACACAGGAAACAAAGCAGAGTTAAAAGGAATGGACTGTTTGTGTTAAGTGAATGGAAGTGATAAAGGCCAAAATCTCATTTGTTATATAAAATCAATACACAATTCTGAAACAGAAAAATGGAGAGAAATGTGGGCTAGTACTCTGACAATACAAGATACAAAGCAAATAATTGGCTTTTGGAAGTGACTGATTCTGAAATTTAAAAACAGAAGGGAGAGGGGGGTCTTCCTTTTTGTTTTTCTTATATTTCTGGTTGTGAGTTTAACTGTTAATTGTTGAGCCATCTCTCCAGACCTCATTGTTTTTTCTAACAAGCCTTTATAACTAGGTATAATTTGTAATAAACATGTAAATTTACTTAAAAAGAAACATGCAGTAGTACTTGAATAAATAAAGAACCTCTACCAGGTACATGCTAATGAGCATCTTTTACCTCCTAGCATTGAGTATTGGTTCCGCTGCATGGATGTGGATGGAGACGGTGTACTTTCCATGTATGAGCTGGAGTACTTCTACGAAGAGCAGTGTGAACGAATGGAAGCCATGGGCATTGAGCCTTTGCCATTCCATGATCTGTTGTGTCAGATGCTTGACTTGGTGAAGCCAGCTAGTGATGGTAAGACTGAATGAACAGCAGTTAGCACTGTTCGTCCTTAAACAAAATGGAACACATTAGAGTTCTGTATTATCCCGATGTATTTAGCTTTCCAGAGTTCCCAAGTACAGAAGAATTTAAAGTTTCTCTCTCCTTGACTAGTAGTATCAAATCAACTGTTTAAGAAATAGAACTTTCAGGGCCAGCCTGGTCTACAGAGTGAGTGCTAGGGTGGTCTCCAAAGCTACACAGAGAAACCCTGTCTCGAAAAAACAAAGGAGGGAGGGAGAGAGAGAGAGAGAGAGAACTTTCTAAGCCAGGCAGTGGAGGCACCCGACTTTAATTCCAGTACTCAGGAAGCAGAGGCAGGCCAATCTCTTGAGCTTAAGGCCATCCTGGTCTACAGTGTGAGTTCCAAGACAGCCATGGTTACATAGTAAAACCCTGTCTCAGAAAGAGGTGGGGGGAGAAGGAAGGGAGAAAGAAAAGAAAAGAAATAGAAGGTTCCATAAAGAAAGAAAGCTCTGTGACTCAGAACTATGGCGGCGAGGAGAGATGGGGAGGACTTGTTGATGGATAGTTCTCCGCTGAGGGGAGAGGAGCACAATGTCAGGGTGTTGGTGGTTGTACAGCATCATGAGTAGGCTTAAAAGCCACTGCCTTGATTAAAAATGTACCAGTTAAAAATGACTTGCCTTGATTTTTTAATGTGATTTATAATAAACATACATATATACTTTTCAACACCAGTGAGGGTTTTTTTTTTTAAGTTTTTTTTTTGTTTGCTTGTCAAAAGAGCTGTCACTGAAATTTACAGGACATATTTGTTTTTCCACAGGCAAAATAACTCTACGAGATCTGAAGAGGTGCAGAATGGCTCATATCTTCTATGACACTTTCTTTAACCTGGAGAAATACTTGGACCATGAACAAAGAGATCCTTTTGCAGTCCAGAAGGTAATGGTATACACTGAAATTGAACTCTCAGCTGGAGTACCAAAGGCTATATGCTGCATATTAAATGGTCTGTGCATGTAAGACCTCTGTATTTAAAAGATAACATCTGAAATATCTCATCAGATATGAATAGAAAACACAATGAAGTCTGTGAAGGAGGTGAAAAGGGATGGAGAGGGAGAGAAACAGAATACAAACAAAAGAATGAGAATCAATATAAAGATCTAAGACCTGGAGTGGTGGTGCATGCCATCGTGGAGACAGATGGGCACCTGTGAGTTCAAGCCCAGCATGATCTACCTAGCAAGTTCCAGGACAGCCAGAGCTACATAGCGAGTCCCTGTCTCAAAACAAATTCACAAATAAATACTACACACACATCTCACCCACAGCCAATATGCAGGTCAGGAACTCTTCAGCTCTAGGTCCTTGCTATCTAGTGGGCTATATTGCTATTGTAATTGTGTACATATTAGAAACTAGTTTCAAACAGTAGTTTTGAAAAATGCATCAGTAACACATCTTACAAGCTACACTGACCTTGATTTGATTGTGCTATGCACTTTCAAGATAGTGTGGTAAACAGTTTACCCTCTAAGTGACACCAGAACTTCTCCATAATGGACAGCTTCAGGTAATTTAACACCTTTTCTTCCTTCCTTCCTTCCTTCCTTCCTTCCTTCCTTCCTTCCTTCTTTCCTTCCTTCCTTCCTTTTGATTTTTCCAAGACCAGTTTTCTCTGTGTAGCTTTGTAGAACAGGCTGACCTCAATCTCACAGAGATCTGCCTGCCTCTGCCTCCTGACTGCTGGGATTAAAGGTGTGTGCCACCACTGCCTTTAACTCCTCTTCAAGTACTAATGATTCTTGTGTGATGCTATCAGTTTTAAGTGTTGTATTGCATAAGAGTAGATACAATTTCCTTTGTTGTGAGCACACAGCTGTTAGACCATCAGTAACCCCTGAGTGGCATGAGATAACAAACTCCATAAAGTTGTCCCCTGACCTCCACATGTGCACCATGACATACACACCTACTCAGAGTATGTACACACATGCACACATACAACACACACACACACACACACACACACACACACACACACACAATACAAATGATGTTTTTTTTTTAAGACTCATGGTTTGGTTCCCAAGCACCCACATGGTGACTCACAACTGTCTTAAGTCCAGTTTCTGAGAATCCAGTGCCCCTTCTGACCTCTGCAGACACTGCATACACATGGTGCACATATGTACATGCAGGCAAAACACTTGCCTTTTTTTTAAAAAAAGAGAATTATGACCAAAATAATGTAAGCTGCTTAGTACACATAATTTTGTAATTTCAGGTGTAGATGACTATGGGAATGTTGCCTTACCCCTCTGTTAATATGTTGGAACACTCTCAGATAAGTTTTCCAGCAATATACATTTGTGATGCCCTACTTACATTTATGTCTTTATTCTAATTTCCTCCTTTTAACCAGGATATTGAAAATGACGGCCCTGAGCCCTCTGACTGGGACAGGTTTGCTGCTGAAGAGTATGAGGCTCTTGTCACAGAGGAGTCCGCCCAGGTGCAGCTCCAGGAAGGGTGAGTGCATCTCCTTGACTGTTACAGTACATTAGTGGAGCTGCCCAGGTCAGAATACTAAACTAAAATGCCTCTTCAAACCCTTCTGGAGGTTTTCCACTTCTGACTAACATAAAAGAAGTATGTCTGGTTTAGCTATGTTAGCTCAGATGAGCACACTCCCAGCAGTTTTCTCTTGAATTCCTCACTGATTTCCTGATAGTCTCATGTCCCATTTCCTTTAATAAGTCACACCTTTCATGGAATCCAAGATCACTGAGCACAACTCTGTAACAGCCTGGTTAAGAAGGACTACAGAATGGAACCTCTTCTAAAAAATAAATGGACCGTGTGTTAAATGAACCTTTATCAGAATAGTCAAAAGAAAATTCCATGCATGGATCATGCTAAGAAAAGTCAAAAATTGTGCTACTTGGGACATTTCATCGATTGTACCATGTGCTGGCTTTTCCATTATTTTCTGTGACTTTAGAAATTCTCATTTTTCCTTAGTCTCTGTTGGGAATACAGACATGCTGCACTGCATCTACTATGTGTGAGTTATGGAGCCCTGAACTCGGGTCTGGATACTCGCAGGGAAAATGCTATCTTCTCGGTGCCTAGTGACTCACATTTTTAGAGTTTTATAATACTCCACTGTGTAGTTGGACCATTACTTTACTCTTCTATTGATATTACACTTTCTAAAGACTTACTTATTTATTATGTATACAACATTCTGCTTCCATGTATATCTGCACACCAGAAGAGGGCACCAGATCTCATAACGGATGGTTGTGAGCCACCATGTGGTTGCTGGGAATTGAACTCAGGATCTCTGGAAGAGCAGCCAGTGCTCTGAACCTCTGAGCCATCTCTCCAGCCCCTGATATTACATTTTTAACATTCCACTATTACAGATTATGGTACCTGACAAATCATCCAATATATATGTCATTTAATATATAAGATGAATTCCTAGAACACTGCAAGCGGATAAGCATATCCAAACTAGGTAGTTGTAAAGTCTAAGAAGATATAAAAGGGTTTAAAGAAGCCAAGCAATGATGGATGCAGACCCTCATATTGAACAGCAGTGGGGAAGCATTTCCATGTCTTGGCCTAAAGGGATAAGGACATGAAAGAGCCAAAAAAAAAAAAAAAAAAAAAAGGAGCTGTGTGAAAGGGCACCTGGCAGGATTTAGAATTTTGCAATCCTAGGCAACTCACCTGAAAGCAGGCTACTAGAAGCACACATCCAGCCTGGGTTGAGACATCTTGACCCCTCGAGCTCCAGAAGACCAGGGAGCTCCCTGATGTGGCCCAACAGGTCAGCTTCCTGGAGCACAGACAGAAAGGGAGGATAAGCATAAATATCCAGTCCAATAGGTAATGTGGAGCAGTACTCCAGAGTTGTACCATTTCCTACCTTCCCATGATTCCTGGGGGGGGGGGGGGGGGGA